GGCTGATCCTCAGCCCTGCCCTTAGAGGCCCCGGGTCTCAGTGTCCCACGGTAATCACTGCAAGAAATTACCTCTGAGAGAAAGCCACCCTTGAGTTCTGATCGAAGCCAGACAGTCCAGTTTATCCCCGTACAAGTCTGGGTCCCCAGAGACTCACCTGGAACTGGAGTTCAGAGCAGTTGGGAGCTTGAGACTCCCTCCGGATTGAAAAAGACAACCTTGTCCTCAGTTGCCAGCCCTTTCCATGAAATTACCTCTGAGAGAAAGCCACCCCTGAGTTCTGATCGAAGCCAGACAGTCCAGTTTCTCCCCGTATGAGTCTGGGTCCCCAGAGACTCACCTGGAACTGGAGTTCAGAGCAGTTGGGAGCTTGAGACTCCCTCCGGATTGAAAAAGACAACCTTGTCCTCAGTTGCCAGCCCTTTCCATGTGTGCCTCCGTACCTCTGCACTTTACTTCTGCACCTCCTCTGAGTCTCAGTGTGCTTTTCTCTTTCCTTCTAGTTGTAGAATCTCCACTCAGCCAGCCTTCCTGTGGTTCTGGATGATGTCCGTTTTGTCTTTTAGTTGTATTTTTGAAGTGGTTTGTTGTTGTTGCAATAAACCAACTTAGGTTAGAGTTTAGGTCCAGGTGACATAGGTTTTTGTGTTGTGGGATGACTTAGCTAACTTTTATTATTGTGTGTATAGTAAATTTCTGCTGCTATTTTTCCCACCGCCATACTGACTGCAGTTTCTTATGATAATGGCTGATCTATGTACTTTCTTCTCCAGTCTTATGTCTCTTTCTAACACTCAGTGTGGAATGGAGTTTAGAGATTGTTCCCCAGCCTATCCAATTTTCCAGAAGTATTGCCCTGGGTAAGGTATATGTCACTGTGTCCCATTGGACCATGCCACCTGCCTTGGGAGAACTCCAGGACTCACATGAGATATGTGCACTTCCCATACCCAGACTTGTTAGTTCAGAAACTTTATTGTATTCAGCAGCTATTCTTCATAATCTGTGGTTTGGAATTATAGCTGTTAGCTATATTTAAAAAGTTTCCTTTATCACTTTATAAGAGGTTTTCTTTTTAGTTTTTTTTTTGTCTTGGCTTAAAGGAAGAGCAGAGTAGACATGCCTTTAATGTGCCTCCTTAATGGCAGATGCCCTTTAAGTCTGACTTCCACATTCACTGTCTTACTGAACTTCCTCTCTGGCAAAGCTCTGAAGATTTCCTAATTGGCAAATCCAAAGTGTCTTCTTTGCTTACAGCCTCTACATCGGAAGTTCTTGTTCCTGTCACTTCTTTCACAGTGCAAATCTCAGGTTCATCTCCTTTCTCATTCTCCTTTGTCTCTTCTCTTCCAGCCTCACTCCACAGTATTTCCCTTAGTTACTAACAAAAATACATCCTTTTGTTTTTGTACTTGTAGCACTTTTTGTACCACTCTTAATAGCCCTTAGCACAGGCAGCGTTCTCAATTTATCTGTATGCAGGACTACCTTCTTTCTGGAGTATTTGGTACTTGAGCATGAGGTTTTATCTGTCTTTACTGCCTTTACCATAGTAGATAATAACATATTATTAAGTTAATGAATTAGATTGCATTTGCATTGTCTCTATTCACTAAGATCTATTACTACCAAATAAATTAATAAATTAAATATATTAAAATATCACAAATTGTAATCAAGAGCAAAAAACACATTATGATAATGGAATAGGAAATTAAGAACAAAAAACAAACAAACAAACTCTGAACCATGGGCCTGGGATCTGTTTACAGTCTTGACCCAACATTGCTAGAAATGAACATGGGACCTTAGGATAAGTAGGCCCACATGCAGTAGATAAAGGAGAAAGTTGTTTCACACACATTTTGATCTTAAGTTTTAAGATCCTTTTACTTCAAGGATTTACTTTTGTTTTTCAAATTAGAAAGTATATTAAAATTCTACCATGTTGTTAGTCATTGCTCTGAAAAGACTATTCTAGTCTATATTTTTACTAATAGAAAAAATTTTAAAGTTAAAGGCTGAAGTTATTTTTTAATAAAACAGGAAAAACTCCACCAATAAAATCAACATGCTTTTTTCAGATTAATAAAAATATCCACCTGCTATTAAACTCTAGCTGAAGAGGAATCTTCTTCATCAGAGCTTCTTTCATCATATCACACCTCTATTATGAGCCATCAGAGGCATGGGTGGGGAAATACTCACACATACCCACACATAGTAAGAACTAATTCTCTTCAGTGTATGCCCACAGAAAGTATTGTGCTTATATTTTTAGTTCATGAGATTTTATGAAAAGCTTATTCTCTGCCTCTTTGCCTAAGAGTTGACCCAGAATCTGCTTAATAATTAATCTCTCATGAATTATGAGATAGTATAACTAGTATGTATATTCCTATTGCTTCTTGTCCTGAATTACAGTACAACTACAGCACAACACAATAAAGGAACACTGTGAGAATTGAGGCTATTGACATATTGTTTACAGAACAGTGTGCTATAGAATAAGACCTTGTCAATAATCCAAACACCATAAGAGCACACCTTATTGCCCACTGAATTACAGAAGAGCGTTAACTTAGCTGTAAAGCCCTAGTGCATACACACTCCCTAAGTCCACAATAACTGGTAATCTACTTGATTAATTAATTAAATTTATTGATTAATATAATAAAGGTCCATCACTTGTTTGAAGCTTCCAAAAATAGTCATTCCATATTTATATTTAATCTATTAGATCTCCAGAGAATATGATTAGAATTAATTATTCAAAGTATTCTGAAAGTATATCTCCATGAAACTGGGAAAATGTAGTGATCATTCCTGGGGGCGGTCAGAGAGGGTTCTAGAAAAAAGTCTACATACACATAAAGCTGCTCATTTTTCTCTTGCATGTGCCGGTCACATTGACATAGGCCAGTAAGCCAGGACAAGTGGCATAGGGCAACTGAGACAGCTGAACAAACTGGCTGAGCATTTCCCAGCCAGATACAGAAGTTTACCTCTTTAGAGATACTATCTAGGCCTCAGTTGTATTTCAGCTCCAGGCTCAGTAAAGCAATAAAACCAGGTGGGTGATCCCAGGACCAGCTGCAATGACTAAAGACCCCCTCTGCCCAATCAATGGAGACCAGGACGCTGAAAGAGCACATTTAGAAAACTGATGAATATTCTGCTGAAACGGTCTCCTGAGACCTCCCTGAAAATTCTCCCCTGTAAGTAAGCAAGAGATAAGAGCCTCAAGACAAAGGAACCAGCACACGCATGTCCCTCTGGAGAACAACCCACACCATTCCCTCTGTCTCTTTCCCCCCCTTTTCTTCTCCCACAGACACACATTTCCTTAACTCTAAGGGTCCCCAGAAGACTTTCCACCAGGGGAGCAATGGGTAGCATCAGCTCATCCCAGGCTAACTCCTGAACCTGTCCCCCAGTTCTCTGACTTCCCAGAGAGCTACAGCAGCCCAGCCTAGGCTCTCTTGTTGCTTCTTCTATGCTGAACTTTTCCTTGTTTTACTGTCCCAAGCTTAAAAAAAAACACACCCTCATACTCACCTGCACTCCTGTTGTGAACTTTTCCTGCACTGCTGGAAGCCGGTCCACCCTTGCTGCTTAACACAGTCGCTGCAGGTAAGAAACATATGCACAGCTTATGTTTCAAGGGACCTGGCATATATGGCATATGTTTGCTCCCCCTCTTAGCGCTATGTGTTTTAAACAGGACCACCTCCCCGAGAAAGGTTGTTTCCCCAGGTGAGGATTTTTCCCTGGAGTTAGGGATTAACAGGACTAAGGAAGGGAATCAGTAAAACCCCTTAACTAAGTGCCAGGCAGGTAGTTAATCACTTTAACTACAAACAACCGTGGAATGGAGATAACAAAGGCCTTAACCTTTGGAATAGAATGGATAGGATTAAAATCAATTGGTATAAATACAGATGTAACAGGAGAATAGAAAGAGAACCTAGTTATGATGATCAACTGAACGCTGCCTCCGTGTCCTTCATTCTTCGCCGACTCCATCCACACCTTTGGGAACCCCTGGACCTGCTGGGGCAGGACCCCAACACTGCACAAACTCAAGAACCCACATGCTATAAGCCAGCCCTATGTAGAACCACTCAGGGCCCTGTCCCTTGTCTGGTAACAACATCACAACCAGTGGAGCTCACACAGCATTCTTTTCCTCTCTGCCTTGATGTGTTCTTTCATCTTATCAGACAGAGGACTCCAGAAACTAATTTTAAGGGATGAAATTATAAATTGTTACTGTCATTAGGCAGTTATTAGAAAACAAACACACAAACAAGGGAAGGCAGACATGGTTGAGCAGATTCAGCTGGGAAGCAGAGGCCTGTTTGCCTCACCAGGAGGCTACAGCTTCACACACTCCAGGACACCACCAGTCCATTCCCTGCAGGTCACTGGGGGGAAGGGTAGAACAAAAGAAGAGGTAAACACATTCACAATAAAGTCAAAATGATGCAGAGCGAGGGGTTCAACCACAGAGACCTGTCAGTCTAACCTGGGAAATATATAATTGGCTAGGTGGTGGACCCCAACCGCAAGCCCAAGAAATCTTGGGAAGTTACTTGGTTCTTTTGAAAACGCTCCTGGTTAAAACCCTAGGAGAACAAAGCTCACTCTCTCTATCTCCCTCTCTGTCTCGCTGTCTCTCCCTCAGAGATCCCCATTCTCCCCGTGCATTCTCTCTCCATAGCCATGAGCCTGAGCAGCTGCACGGCTGAATGCCACAGGGACTCCAAAGGCAGGCTCCACATGGGAGCCTGGATGCCGCAGCAGAACAATGGATTGCCGCTGGGAACACAAGCTAAACTAGCCGGATGCTGGACAGAACTAAGCTTTAATATGGCACAGACTCTCTGGACATGGACACTATTTTGGACCCTGATTTGCCATGGCAAAACGGACAGAGATGGGTATTGGGGGACTTCTTTAATTTTGCTTTCCAAATAAAGTTTGCCACCAGGCCTCATCGTCTCTTGTGGGTCCCTGGCAATGCTTTTCCTCGCACACCGCAAGAACCCCACATCCACTGGCAACAAAATGTTTTTACCAACCTAGACCGAGCAGATACAGCCAGGGAAAATGCACACCTTAGACTAATCTGATATATATAAATGAATATAAAATATCCCCCAGAACGCCTTGCTAGGATCGAATTTGTCTGAAACAGAGGTATTGATTGAAAGAGCCGAGAAGGGACACTGGAGTAGGAATTTATCAAACACTAGCAATTTACTTTAAGGATCATTTCCTGAGAACTTCTGAAATATTTTCATTGTTTAGAGAATTTTTTTAGTAACTGAAAGGAAAAGTTTCTGCTAAGAGAAAACTCCATGCATTTATAAGGACATTTCAATTTCCCCATTGTTTTCCATATCTATCTTTATTTGCCAATATCTATAATACAAATTTTAGGAAACATATTTTGCCTCATGAATTTATGAATGATTCTATTTCCTATCATGACATTAGCATTGTGTCTTTTCCTTTTCTTTCTAGGTTCCTCCTCAGTAAAAACAAACAAAACAAAAACAGACACAACTTAGACAATGTATTTTATGATACTTTTTTTTCAAAATGTTTTGACATGTTGGGTGATAAATCATGCATTAGGGACAAGAGTAATGACAATGAAAGTGTTGCAGTTTTGAATATATATATATATATGGCTTCAATTGTGCCCAAATACAGAGAGTGTGGGTCCCTCCATCATCCGCAGGTCAGGTGCTTACTGCAGAAAGGCAGGTCAGCTTTAAGGACAGGGTCTGCTTCCCACTCAGGCAAGAGCACCAGGCTAATGTGAGTTCAACAGCAGAGTAATGGGTCCTGGTTTCCCAGCTGCACCTCCTCCATCCATCACTATAGTATACACCTAAACACCCGGTGTCTAGCCTCAGAATTTGGTCCAAAATTAAATATAGTGTATGAAAAATCATTCCATCTAGACTAAATAAAATTTAAATCTAAGTTTACATATATATCTAGGTCCAAATACATATCAGTTTAATTTGAAAGAGGCTTAATAAGTAACTACTATATATTGAATCCTCACTGTCAAATATTGTATGTGTTTTTTTCTGTATTATCTCATTTAGTCCTTAGGGGAAGAAAAATAGTTATAAATACTATTACCGTTTCTAGTTTACAAAAGAGGAAACTGAAGTAGAGATAAAATAGATCCCTCTAGGAGAAAAGTAACAAATTAGAAAAAGATTAATATTGATAATATTTAAGGAGGTTCTGAGGAAAATAGAAAACAAAAAGAAAATGAGTAAAGGATTAAAGTATGCAATTTACAAAGAAAAAACCTGAATAATAGGCAATACGTTTTTGAAAAGATATACAAATACTTTAAAGACACATTGATAGAAATTAGACATTCGAATGACATCTAGAGCTGGAGAGAATAAGGAAAAGTAGGAATTTCTGTGCACTTGGTCAGTAAAGACATTTTGGAGGCCTTTTTGTAACTTATTGAAATGAAACAGAAACATACCCTATGACTCAGCAATTCTATTTTTGGGGATCTATTTTTTTTAATCAGTTTGGGTATTTAGACTCGCCAGACCCACTTGAGGCTTTTATTTAGAGAATGCAGGCAAGCATCAGGGATCTCAAAGACAGCCATAGTATGAGCTCCCCTGTTGGTCCAATTTCTGCATGCTAGGACTGGGCTGAGGCTCTGACTTGAACTTTCAAGGTCTGCATGAAAAATTTGGTCTTTGGGAGAGCTCCCTCCCACAGAACTCAGTAGCTCTTTATGTAGTAAAGTCAGGCTTATTTAACTGGTTAGGCCAGTTACAAACTATCGGTAAAGAAGCTAACTTAGAGTGTCATCAGGGGACTTTTCAACCATGAGTAGAACACTATAAAGTCCACTGCCCTTATCTTGGCCAAATAAAAGGTCAGACATCAGGGTATCTCCAGAGATAAAGACAGAGCTCTTCCTGTCCAGCTGGCAATCAGCTCCATCTCCCACCTGAAAAAGAGAAATGTGTGATTATGTCCACCTCAGCATGCTTTGCAAAGCAAAGATGTAGAAATGTTGTTGAAAGGAATTTTAGAGACAGGCCAGGCAGTTAGGGAATAAGGGGTGGGGGGGAGTCCATGGGAGAGGAAGACATACATTCATTGATGATAGAGAAAAGTTACAAGATAAGGGGAGAAAAAGACATACTTTCACAGAGGACTGAGGAATGTTACAAGATAAGGGGAAGAGGAAGAGGGGGGCACCAGGTGGGTTTTGAACTTTGAAACTGATACTATGCAGGAGAATGACCAATTAGGAAAGCATGGGGGTCATAAATAAAGGAAGAGTCCAATTAGAAAAGGTCATGAAGAGACAAAGAGCTCCCAGCATTTATATACCCATAGACAAAGAAACTTAGGGAACAGAACTGATTTTTTCCCATGAGAGAGAGAGAACAGGTTTTTCCCATTTGGGGAAACCTCTTCAGAGGGAGTCTGTGTATGCTTGCAATAAACTTCTACATGGTTGCTTAAAAACCTTTTAATCCATGAATTCTATTCCTCAAACTTCGTAGGACAAGAACTTACAATGAGAGAGTCTGAACTTGCCTGTGCTCACCAAACTCCACAGTCAAGGAAAGGAAGTTAATAGACATAATATATGATATGCATAGGATGGAGTACTACCAGTATACAACAACAAAAGAACATTTATCTATATAATCAAAGGTAGACATCAAAAGTGAAATGTTTAGTAAAAACCTGAATCATGACATTTTGAGATGTATTACATAATGAGAGGTATTGCATAATGCAATATATGAGCTCAAAGCACACAGACACATACTATATATTATTCAAAAATCCACATGGAGAAAAGGAAAACCAAGATGTCGGTGTAGGTAAACAACCTGGTACTCACTGCCTCCCACAAGCACATCAAAATTACAACTAGCCAAAAGAGCTAGTTGTACATGGTTGCTTAAAAGCCTTTTAATCCATGAATTCTATTCCTCAAACTTCGTAGGACAAGAACTTACAATGAGAGAGTCTGAACTTGCCTGTGCTCACCAAACTCCACAGTCAGGGAAAGGAAGTTAATAGACATAATTAACTTGGATAGAGCGTCGGCCTGCAGACTGAAAGGTCCCAGTAGCCAAAAGAGCTAGTTGTACATGGTTGCTTAAAAGCCTTTTAATCCATGAATTCTATTCCTCAAACTTCGTAGGACAAGAACTTACAATGAGAGAGTCTGAACTTGCCTGTGCTCACCAAACTCCACAGTCAGGGAAAGGAAGTTAATAGACATAATTAACTTGGATAGAGCGTCGGCCTGCAGACTGAAAGGTCCCAGGTTCGATTCTGGTCAAGGGCATGTACCTTGGTTGCGGGCACATCCCCAGTAGGAGGTGTGCAGGAGGCGGCTGATCGATGTTTCTTTCTCATTGATGTTTCTAGCTCTCTATCTCTCTCCCTTCCTCTCTGTAAAAAATCAATAAAATATATCTTAAAAAAAATTACAACTAAAATATAGAATACTGGTAGCCATCATTCAGAAACACCTGAAAGCTGGCTGAATGGAAGTCCTACAACCAGAGAAGTAAAGAAGAAAGTGCATCAAGACCAGTAGGAGGGTACATTGGTAATACTCTTAACAATAACGATTTTAAAACAATCCACATGGATATAAGTCATGGATAGTGGTTTAGGAAG